CATCTTCACAGGAAAACCTGCAGCATGGCAGCTGGCCATCTGGTTCCACAGTCTCAAGCAAGATCTAATTCTTTCTCCCTAGTCCCAGTGAGTCCCAATTCCTTCTCCCTCATCACTTGTAAGTCGTGAATTAAACCAAATTAAATCAATTAAAATTAAATTGATTAAAATAAATAAATGAACTGAATGGAGTTATCTACAAGTATGGTGATGTTTTGGCTATCTTGCCTTTCTCTCCTTTAGGCAAGATGCAAGGCAGCTAAGATCTTGTTATTAGGTAAGTTAATGGTCAGATATTAAAGTGGAAGGGTTATACTCACTGAAAGTGAGATATGATTGCAAAGATGTTCAGAGACATTCCAAGATGAACCAGACTGTGAAGAGATAGAGAATTTACCAAATCCATCATTCTGACAAGTTTCTTGTACTCCCTGAGGTTATGGTATGATCAGGTATAGACACATACAGGAACTTCCTAATTATGCCTACAAAGGCGAATGACCTCTGCAGATTGATGAAGAATCATCAATCAGTTACAACACAGCTATAATGCTATGGTAATCCAACATTGCCTATAAAAAGAAAACTGAAGTAAGGAGAATTAGAAATCCCACTTCCACTTCATTGAAGATAATCTCAGAAAACTTTCCTGGATTTCCCTCACCCTGGCCAATGACAAGAAGGATTTCTTGTTATGTTACATTTCTGTGATTAAAAGTGAATCTTAATTCTGTGAATATGAGATGCTTGTATTCCTAAAATAAAGCTTTTAAAATTTACTGGTAGTCTCTTGATATTGTTGGATGGTGTTCAGAGTTGCTGGGAGTTGGGCGTTAAATTCCTAATTCTATAGCAGAGAGCAAACCACTTGTAAAATAAATTTCTAACAATCTTTAGAGCCATTATTTCAGGCAAGAAGGTCTACCCGAAATGCCTGCTAGTGCAATTCTACTTAATGCTTTCCTCAAAAGGAGAAAATACAAAATATTTTCAAAATATCTGGAGATGTTCTAGTATTTCTCGGTCTGGAGGACCAGCTAGAATAGCTTGATCTTGGCCACCAACACATTCTCTAGAGGGGAAGATAAAAGGCATGCTGAGTTTAAGCTGACCCATTGGTGGAGGTGTTCAACTTGGACCTCGTGCAAGGACAGGAAAGCTTCAGCTGTACTAAATATTCCCCAAAGAAAAGCTATCTATAAACCACAAGAATGGGAGTTTTTGTTCTTGCTCTATCACTGCAGAAACTGTAGTTTTTCTCCATGTTCCAGTAAGCAAAGAGAATGGTTTTCTTCCCTGTCTGAAGCATGGAGAATGATCTCAGAAATGGGCCTCAGTGGGGGGTTTAGTATCAGTGATATCCACTTTTGCATCTTTGAGATAAATGAAAACAGGCTTCGTTGGCAACTAAGTGTTCACAGTCCTGTGCAATGTTTTGTTCCAAAGTTCTCTCCCTGCATCAGCACAATATATTTTTTGCACAATTTACAACTTGTACAATTTAAGCCCAGAGACCTTTAGGTTCATGAGATGACATGAGTGCTCCACTCCAGTCCTAATATTCTCTTCATGTTACTTTCAATGTGGCTTGTTCTCTCTTTCAGTAATGTTACTGTTCATACGTACTGCTTGTTCAATGTATCTGTATGTCTGAATATGTTTGCCTAATTCCAGGCTTCAGATTTAAAAGCTCAGAGATACTCTTATCACTGTGAATGTGCATATATACTAGAGTCTTGGATATAAATTTTCATATAAACAATTAAATAATAGTATGAAGTCCAAGTTACCATTTTTTTCCAGAATGAAGTCATTAATTGTAAGAAGGTTGAAGTAACACTATATAGATCAGTCTTTTCCAGTCTAGATACTCTTCCAAGGTATAGATTTCAGTTCTCAGAATCCTCAGCAATGAGCATATTGATTGGAGAATTCTGAGAGTTGAAAGCCATACATCTGAAGGACATGCCATGATGACTAGGAAATGGTTTTCCCAAATATCAGTTGCTCCACTCCATGAACATTTTCAGAAGAAAGTAAAATATTACTAGTAGTTCTCCCTTAATTGTGTTTGCACAATATTTCACTGCACAACTGGCTGAAACCTATGCTAATGAATTTCAAAATATTGCCTCTATACTCAAAATAGTATTACTTCATCTGTGATTCCTAGAAGTCTGGAAAAGTCAGTATTTATTTATTAATATGCCTCAAAGATAGTTCTCTAGGCACCACCCAACACTTAAAAGAAAACATAGCAAATCATTGATCTCCAGCCCAGACTAGGAATTCAATGAGCACGTACCAACAGTACAACACAAAACACTAAGCTAAAACCATTCCCTAATTTCAGAGTCTAGTAATTAAACTAAAATTCCTAACGGCTAACATAATACAAATGTCTAAGAGAATATTTTTTAAAATTCCTACCATCCAGGCAGCCCCTATCCCAAAAAACGCTACACAAATACTTCCTATAGGAAGCCCCAAAGCCAGGACTATTACTATAAAGCCTATTAATAATTCCATATCATGATTAAGACGTTTTAAAATTCTTGGAAAATTCTACTTTTGTTTGTAGTGAAGGAAAAAATGCTTCTTCATTGTCAAAGTAGGCTAGATAATGAGCTTTTACTAAAGTTTACTTGCACTTGTTCTAATTTTCTATCTCCTTATATTCTAGATGTTTCCCAACTGCCTTCTTATAATTTAGCTCAGGGGTACACCAAAGGAGTTGGTTCTGTTCAATAGGACTGGTCCCTTACTAATGATCTTGCAACTAATGATTTCTGCATTGCACAGATTGGTCAGGGCTTTAATAGGCACACTAGTCACAGTAATCACTAAAGCAAACCAAGAATAGCTCTTTAGGATCTGAAGGCAAATGACCTTTATGTCTTGAACTCTTCCAAAAGAGAGAATCACCATCATGCTAATTTTCCATAAAAAGAGATTTGATCTGAACAAGCAACAGATTCTAAATCCTTCACCTTCAGACCAATAACCTTCTGCCATAGAGAGAGCATTAAATCTAGTGTGTGTCATACAAGAGACATTGGAACAATCACATGGCAGCTGTTATGATGGATGTAAAATCCTAAACTGTCTTAGATCCAAGAAGCTTAGCAGAAAGGAATGTTTGTTCTCCAAGAAAAAATGCTTGGCTGATTCTGCAACATTAGTAATGAGATAGCTTCTATCACTTCAGACTGGGCAACATAACTTCTATTTGTCCTGCTCATTCAACACAAAACACAAATATTGCAAAATGGCATTCAGCTATGGAGGAAGCCTGGACAAAGAATTTCTTCAGATCATAGCAATTAAATAGAAAATATCCGTGGAACTGGAAAATAATTATTTTATGTTTTGTAAGAAAAACATATCTGGTATTATTCTCTTTATATTAAAGGATTATGCCAATCTGCCAATGTGCTTACCTTTTAGACAGGTCAGTTCAATTATTGATTAATCTAGATTGAGATGCACACATGATTTAACTTTCAACAAGTGCAGTATTTTGGCATACACAAATAGGAATCTTCCCATTTTTCTAACGTATTGTTATTGCATCATACAGCTTACAAGAAAAAGAAAGAAAAGTGTGGATGAAGATCACACCAACTCCATTATTTCAGGCTTGCAGTTAGATCTGATTACAGTATTGTTATGTAGGTACTAGAATCAAAATTTGAGCAACAAAGCTCCTTCTTCTTTCAGTAAGTTAGCATACCCTAACTACAACAGGATACCTAGACTGGGGAAATGTTTGTTCCCAAAGTAATTGTTTTAAATATAGTCCTATTTTGAACAATTTAAAGATTGTAAACCTATACAATCTGGGAGGCTAGTCCTACTGAATTCAGCAAAGGCTATTTCTGAACTTCTGTAGGATATTAATTACTCTCAAATATATCAGTGTATTTCCATCAAAAAAAAGTGAGAAACAGCTTAAAGGTTCCAAACATGCCCCCAAGTCAACATTTTCCATATTCTTGCTGCACCCAACTACTGTATGTTTAGAAATAAATTCTACCTATTTCTATGGAAACAGGCAGAGGATTATAATCTAACAATCCCTTGCCCATGGAAAGACCCCAGTGGCTCTTTTCAGCAGTGTTATTCTTAAGAAAAAGATATAGAAAAAAAAAGAAAAAACAAAACGTGCACTTCTATTTGCAAGTGACAGCAATGCCAAGAGAAAACTGCAGAATGGATTGTGTGAATAATTAATTCGACGTTTTCAGCCCAACATGTAAACAGGTACCGTGATGCTCCATGAAGCTACTGAGAGAGGAAGCATTTCTGCCTCAGTGTCTTTCAGGGAATGACACGGTTCGTTGTTAATCTACCATGGCAGGCAGAAATTCAACGGGTGGGTTTCTCACACCGTGGAGCGACCCTTCACCTGCTGTTACCTGCTTCCTCCTCAGGGCTGTTAACCGGGCTGGGCGGGGGTGGCGAGGAGGAAGAGGGCCCCCCGCTAGAGAACAGTTTGCAAGGAGTCACGGGCAGGAACGCCGAGCGGGAAAGGAAAGCGGAGCGGCGAGGCGAGGCGAGGCGGCTGAGGGAAATTTCGCCCAGGGAAGGCGGGAGGGGGCGTGGGAGGCGTTAGGGCCACGGCGAGCCGGCGGGAATGTCCTACGCGCCGGGTGAGCGCCGAAAGGCAGCTGTCGCCTCCATCCTACCAGGCTGGGAACAGCCACAGCGCTCTGCTGCCCGCCTGAACTTGCTCCCTTCCCCCGCTCGCACAGGAGGGAGGAATAAAAAGTCAGATACGCGAAATAGCCAAAAAAAAAAGAAAGAGGGGTGGTTCTTTGTTTGGCGGGGCAAAACTCTGTGCAACATGTGGGCGCTCGTGACACCCTGGCTCCGTCGAGAGCGCCCCGGCAAAACTTGGGGGAAAGCCGCGGCTTCCCGGCATTTTGGCTGGCTCGGGCGCTCGCAGCAAGAACGAGGCGCTGAGGTTAGCTCTCGAGACGTGAGGGTGGCCGACTTACCTCGAGACCCGGATGGCGGTGCTATTAAGAGGCTGAGCAGCAGACAGAATATCTGGGTCGGGGGGTGAGGAGAAGGAGGGTTGCGTTGTCGTCCTGCATGGAGCCGCTCTGACATCTTAATCCAGACTGAAAGACAAACTTTGATCAGCTGCTCCCAGCCCCATTAATACAGTTACAGAGCGAGCGAAAGAGTCCTGAAACTCAGGATGTGAGATATTTCCTGCATGCAGTTAACTCCGAAACCCCTCCTGCTCCTGCATAGGCTGATGATGAGTTGGGCTTTGGTTTCAGTTTTTTTTTTTTTTTTTTTTAATTTCAACTGTTGGTGGGTTGGCTTTTTTCCCCCCCTTGGCAAGATCAAATCTGTTGACCGTAACTCCGAAACCCCTCCTGCTCCTGCATAGGCTGATGATGAGTTGGGCTTTGGTTTTATTTTTTTTTTTTTTTTTTTTAATTTCAACTGTTGGTGGGTTGGCTTTTTTCCCCCCTTGGCAAGATCAAATCTGTTGACCGTTGCAAGAACTGAGCAAATCATCCAAGCTGGCAACAGGAGGCACTAAAAACCTTTATTGAAAGAAGGCAGGCCTGTGAAAAACCGCCCTTGCCAACATTTACAGTTCTCAATATAATGGAACAAATTGTTGTCTTCTTCGCTTTTCTCCAGCTGCTCCCCTGCGGGGTCCTAGTGCCCTTCCCACTGGGTAGACAGAAACAATTCCTTTGCAGAGGGGTGACCTGCCAGTTTTCAATCTGTTTGGAAGGAAAGACATTCATTTGGGATTAATTTTAAGGTTGGCTGTAAAATCCCTTTTCTCCTCCAAGGATGATAAATGATCTTGTTTTGTCTCAGACGTCTCTCCTTCTCAAGTCTCAAATAGTTCAGTTGTATGTCGCTAAAATGATTAGAATAAAAGCTGATGGCTTCTTACTCTTAATTGTGAAGAATTTTTTAAAATAAAAAATAGGTATTATAACTACTCATCTTAATGCTAATGCTTATGCTTGGATTTTATTTTACTCTTTTAATGCAAGAAATTATTTTTTTTGTGAATGTTTTCCTTTTTTTAAATCTGCCTTTGTATTGTCAAAAATACTAGAAAAATAAATAGATACTGTATCTCACATCTGCTCACCTGTCATTGGAACATAAATAGATGTTGTTTATTATCTGTTCCTTTTAGGACAAATTGAGGAACATTGCAAATCTACCTTTTATAATTCGAACAATAAACCTTCTGGTAGATACATTTGAAATAAATCCTGAAGGCAGAGGAATTCATTGATCTATAGACCACACAGACACAACTGCTACTTTTTTGAAGGAAAAAACAAAGACTATTTAGTTCACTAAATTTGGAATGACGGAACTTGGCTACCCCTGATTGATTTTCTCTTATTTTTGACATGCTGTGATTGAGAAAGTTCTGTTCGTATGTCTATGTGAAAAAAAAAAATCACCAAAACATTTAACCTAGGGACCTCAATATCTAACAGATCTTTATGGCTTATGGAGGTCAGATGAATCTGTGAACCTTGCTTTTCTGCATCCAAAGCCCTGTGGGTTTAGAACTTTTCCTGTTTATTTTAGTATTTCTCATCCCTTTCCACTGATTTCAGTGAAAGAGTTTACTCCACCATCTCCAAAGCTAATTTAGGTCTGGACCCATTTTATGAGATTTCTGAGAGTTTGATTTTGCTGACCTGTGTTGTCGCCTAACACATCCTGCTTTGGTACCACTTTGTAGCAAAGCACTTCTGGTGATATAGCAGTGGTAGCATATCTTCTGCTGCCAAAACCAGATGGAAATTCTTTGGCACCAAGCTTTCCTCTTCAAGGAGGAAGTTGAATGTCCATAAAAATCTGTTTCATGCTTTCTGAAATAAGTTCAATCTCTATGAATAAATGTAATCATATATAATTAATTGCAACACAAATATTGCACAAGAAAAATATACTTATGGATGCCAGTCCCCTAACATATGAATGTACAGATTCAGTCCAGAAAAATGTTGGGTGTAACCCCCATGGCCTATCTGTTGCCACGAAATTGTAACAATGTGGCAGAAGGTGGAAATTATTAAATATGTAGGAAGTAGTCATGTTGATTGTAATTAATGTAATGTTCATTCCATTTTAATTAATCAAATTTAGTTTTTGTCCTGGTCCTGCAGTGTTGTGCATCCATGCCCTAGCACATAGATTAGCATGTTATTATAATGGATACTGGCAGCTACAGGATACTGAGTGACTATATTTGTACAAAACCGCTACCTTCTTCTAGTGACATGTGAGAGGATCTTATTCAAGTTGGAAGAAGGAACAAGAAGTTTATTTTCCCCCAGAGCAGTCTGCAAATCATGGAAGCAGCAAGGACTATAGAAGCAAATTTTCTGACTAGACCTGGATTCAAGCCATTTGCCCCAATGAGTTAGAAGAACTGAAACCTCTAAGGTAAAGGTGGGAGGGAAAGTATAAGCAGAAGCATCAGGAGCATTTTATTTCTTTTCACTTCTACTTTGCTCAGATGTATAGTTTTACCCGTACTCTCATTTCCTGTAAGGCTCTACAGAAATCCAGATTTGAAAGCCAAAATGTGTTGTGGGCCATGCAGGGATACCTATCTAGTCCTAGGTCAGAATGCCTTTAAGCAACTGTATCTTTTCTTAGGCATGCATGGCTGCCCTCCCCAGGAGTCACATGATTCTGGGCAGTCATGTTCAATTAAAGGAATTTCCAACAGGTGCTACCTACATGCATACTCCAAATCATAATTTGTCCTTTAAATCTGGACCTCTGCGTAGCCCTAATTTCCCATCCATCTGTCTCTATGTCTGATTAATCATTGCTAGCTTTTTATGTATATCTAGGCCTCTTATAATTTGATGTAGCTATAATTGCCCAAGCACTTATTTTATGCCATTTATTAAAACAAACATCCTTTATTCTTTACTGCTACGGGGTTGAATTTGCAGTAATTCCACACACTCTACATTGCTTGGCCGAGCAACTAGTTAAAAGGGGAAACTATAACCATGTACTCAAGAACAGAGTCTTCAGAAGGGGATTGCCTCTTTTGCCTCATCCAGATTCCAGGTGAAAGAGGGGCATCTCCCCATTCAAGATCATGGTAGCAGCCTAATTATCTGCCCCAGGTAATTCCTGGGGGAACAGCTACATGCAGCCACCCCAGAACTCAGGTAGAGAGGATGGGAGGGTAGAAATCCCAGGACAGGATCTAGCAGTCTTGTGCTTTGGGTTTATGACCAGACATCCTGCTTCAACTACTTGTAAAAGTCCTCATGTAAAGATAAAGGCAGAGCTCTGGGAAGGGCATACTAGCCATGGCAAAGAAGAGCATGAAAGCTTCATGCTAGCGTATTCATATGCTGGTGACATTAATGGGCCATCAACTGAGGTTATCTCTACTTGAACATATTGAGGAAATCTGAGATAGTGAAATATGTGTGACACTTTTTTTAGCCTCTGCCTGTGTGCTGCATTTTACTGAGGATTTATCTCAGTGTATTGTTCATATTCAGAGCAAATGCCATCATAGATCTCTTTATCCTAGATGCTGTAATCAACAACAGACCTAATATACAGCAACATCCACCCTCAACTGTGGAAGCTGAGTAGGTGATTTTGGACTGGCCTGTCTCTTTTACTCCAACCTATCTCTTAGGGAAGTAGTTGTGGAGGAAAAAAGCAGGTCTGGAGCCAAATGTAAGTATAATATTAATCTGGTTTAAAGTGAACTAATATAGAGTTACTTGACTTTAAAGTGAGATACCTTGGATAAATGTGGCATGTGAGGATAGGGATAAATGACCTGACATTTCTTCCTTCTCATTTTATGTGAATTCAATCTGAGAAACAAATGATAAAGCGTTATCATGTCTTAGAATTGCCTTGTTTCTATATAAAGGAAATCTTCCTTCCTGGTCAGTCATGAATACTGGAAGCTCACACCAGACACATGTATCATTTTTTTCTTATTTTAGGATATGAGCTTGAAATGAATTAATTGCCTCAACCAGATGTTAGATATGGATTCCATCATATAATTAATAATTACCCCTTTAAAAGGCTTTTTGGATGGAGGAAAAGAGAAACGAATGGATACATTGCTACTGCTAGGGACCTCAGAGCCATTCCATTTTCATTGCAAAAACACAAGTTAATTGTCAAAGGGAGCATCTTGCTAGACAAATCAACTTGCAGCCCCAGGCTACATGTAATTCCAAAAGTTACAAATGACCCCTAAATCTCCTCTAAAAGTTGTGACTAAATTGTAATTTTTGATGTGACAAATTAATTTTTAACTATATAGAATTTAAACATATTCACAATTTATATTAAATATTTGATGTTAATTAAGTATTTACTTTCTTGATGACTGCAATGACATGCTCTAAATTTGCTACTCTTGAGGAATCCATGGGAACTTAAGGTTGTGTAAAATGCAGTAACCAGGCTGGTAATTTGTGCATAACACTAAGAGCATCTTAAACCCATGCTGGGGGACTAACACTGAGAGTTGTTTTCCAGGCAGAATTTAAGTGCTCTTTTTATGTTTAAAGGCCTAAATGTCTTGGGGGTTGAGTATCTGAAGAACTGAATGTCCCAGTATGAACTTGTCCAGATGTTAAGATCAGTGGGCCTCTTAAACGTGCTCTCACTTTCTGAGGTCTCTTTATCAGGACCACAAGAGAAATGTTTTTCCTGGGCTACTTTCAGTGGAAACCCTTCTGCTTTAAGGGGAATTTACAATCAGATCTTAGTTCAGCACTGAACTTCCACCGTACATTGCAGTAGGTGACTAGTTTAGGAGAAGGAGAGGAGAACACATGGAGCCAATGTTCCATTCTCCAAAACATACGCTGTTTCCTGCTCCCATCATCTGCTTCCTGTGCTGGCTATCACACGCTGGTAGAGCTGGTTACAAAGCCTTTTTAAAAAAGAAACCATGTCCAAACAACCTACAAATCTTGCGCTAAGTGCAAAAGGTCTGTTTAGCTTTATTCAGGACACTCAGCAGGAAAAAAACTGCAGACTACTCTGTCTCCATCTCATGTTGAGCCAAGTTAAAAACTCACTATGAGTTGCTGGGTCTGAGTTTTTGAAAGAGTCACTTACAGATCCACATTTCCAAGAAATCTGTAACTTGGTGAACTGCAAGAAGATACAGAGTTAA